ATTTGACTTTGAAGGCCATTGTGGGATGTAATAAGCACATATAAGGGACCATCATCATTTTTCGAAAGGGACTTGATTCGTAAAGGCAACCATAAGGGACTTTGATGATTTTTTTATTTGAGGGACTTGCTTTATACACCCCACTTAACCATTATTCGTAGGCAACTTGAGGGATATCCTTAGGAAGTGAGACGGCGATTAAAATCGACTTACGTGTGTGACGTGTTTATTTTAATTATCTTTATTTAAAAGTGATCTAAATTTATTTTAATATTACATACATGTTGTTACACTCCCTAATTACTAACCATAATAATAATTAAATAATTAAACAACTTTACATCCAAGAAACAATTGCAAAATAATAAGCAAAATAATTAAATAGCAAAGATAAGTAAAATATAAATAAGCAATAATAAATAATAAAGGGGGGTTAATTCTAAGTTTACTCGGCAAGACATCGCATCTTGTGCCTACGTATCCTTACGGGAGTGGAATTAGAGTAATCGTAGTTCCCCTCAATAGGGAGGTTAGAAACTTCTTGACTGTGGTCAAGGTCTCAAGGGGAATAAACGCATCTTAAGGACACGCTTACGTGGAGTGTAGAAACTCCAAATCTCTACGTTGAAATGTTAAGTTGTAATTAGGGTTAAATTAGGGATTCCACGGCGGGAAACCCTAAAATGAGCGCGGCGGCTCTTTGACCTAATGCTAAGGGTAAAATTGTAATTTTGCCTGCGGCGAGGCATTTGTGAAAATTAGGGTTTGTAGTTTGTAGTTTTGAGGATTTGAAATTGAATGTGTGAAGTTTTACGGACTATTGGCGCGGCGGCCAAACAGTTAGACCTAACCTTCGGATGTGTGCAATGTGACAGAAATAATAGTAAACGCGTGAGATAATTGAATCATGCAAACAGAGAGATAATGTCATAATTTAAACCATGCAAGCAGAAATTTAAAGGCAGAATTTAAAGAGCGATTGTTAAGTTCGCGAGGTTACATGAGAGGAGCAGATACAATATGATAATGAAATTTGAATTGAACAATAATAAAATAAAATAAATAACGGTTCTAGTTATTATTTTAAAAAAAAGATTTTAGTTATTATTTTAAATTTATCTAAAAAAAAGTTTTTCTTAAAAATAATAGGTTTTCATATTAATTTGGAAAAGATGTTAATGTTATTTATTTTAAAAAACAGATTTTTATATTATAACAAATTTTAATAAATTAATGATAACAATAATAATAATAATGGTAATAATAATGATAATAATGATAATAATAATAAATAATGATAATAATAATAATAATAATAATAATAATAATAATAATAATAATAATAATAAAGCAATAATGAATTTTAAATGTGCCAAATAACCCAACAATGTTGCTAACGCAGAAATGCGCTCATCGCAACCAGATCTAAATCGGACGAAACAAAATTTATCGCAAAGAAAAAGAAATTAAGCAAAAAATAGTATTATTGCTCACACAAAAATGCGATCATCGCAACCAGATCGAACTAACACAAATGTCACGCGTCATGCACACAAATGTGCAAACATCGTATCGACATAATTCGATCAAAAATCTTATATATATAAACTCTAACAATTTAAAAATTATATATATATAAACGTAACAGTAATAGATAAAGAAAAAGAAATAACGGTAATAGATGAAGAAAAAGAAATAACGGTAAAAGATGAAGAAAAAGAAACAACAGTAATAGATGAAGGAAAAGAAATAACGGTAAACGATGAAGAAAAAGAAACAATAGTAATGGATGAAGAAGAAAACTAAATAACGGCAAACGGCACTCACTCCTCTTAGGTTTTTTTCATTCTCCCCCTTTTTTTTCCAACAAGGCAACACATGTATATATAGGGAACAAATTAGGGTTAACACCAAATTGTCAATAATGTCCCTAAAGCCCATTTTAAAGCCCAAACTAAATAATTAGTTAAGAAAAAATAAAATTTAAATAATTTAAAATAATTAAACTAAACTTAAAATAAAAACTAATAATCCTATTGATTCCTAAAATAAAAAATATTATAAAAAGAACAAAATTTTTTCAATATTTTTTTATTTTATGATTTTTTGGATATTTTTATGAATAATTTAGAAAAAAGTGAAAAAAATAATATTTTAAAAAATGATTTAATTAAAATACGAAAATAATAATTAAATAATAATAAAAAACTATTTTTGTTATTTTTTTAATGAAAGATAGAAAAATTTAGAGTAAAAATAATAAAAAACAAAAAAAAGTGACAAAGGTGAGATTCGAACTCTCAACCTCTCACACTCATAACTCCTTACACATGTCCTCCTGCCAATTGTGCCATTTTTACTTTTTAGAAAAAAAATGCATGCCATATGATATTTACCTGCAAAAAGTCAAACGACTACACAAATTTGTTAGTAATTGATTAAATGCAATGAAATGCGACGACAAATCTTAGGGCAAAATTTGGGGTATTACAGTTATTATGATAATATTTCTCACCCAACCTCTCTTTGATGTTGGCAAAAAAAAAAAATCATGAAGTTTGACTTTGGTTTGACCACAGTTGACCTCAGTTTGACCTTTTAACTGCATTGACTGCTTTTGACTTATCTGATCATCTGACTGAGCAAACTTTTGAGAAAAGTCTTGAAACTTGACATGGGGGTTCTTATACACATATAAGATGTTATGAAGCTCACTTGAAGTCTTGGAAGTCCATTTAGCCTGATTAAAGTCAAAACCCTAGTTTTGGATGCACTGCTTAGGAGGTGCATTGTCTGAGGGAATTGTCAACTCTTCTGACCAATTGTGAATTTTGTGAACCTTGTGAACCTTCTTGGAACACAAAGTCTTGTATTGTGAGGGCAAATTTTGGGGTGCAACACCTTCTTGCTGGTTTCCTATACCAATCGAATTATTTTAATTTCATCTATCTTTGTTACCATTCCATTTTCCTTTGTCTTTATTTTCTTTTGTTGAATGCGTATGCAGAGCTACATCACTCTTTGTCACACTTGCAGATCATTTAGTCAATCTTTGTTCATGAGATTCAAGCATCCCTTGAAACTTTTCTTTTGCCATCTTGACAAATCCTTCGAGGATAGAATTTTGGAATCAATGAACTCAAGATCTCTGTAACTACTGAACTTGATGTGAACATTTCTCCAAACATCTTGATTTGATTCACCATCTTGTTACCCCAGTGAAGAAATCAACGATGCTTTCACTTTCTTCCATATGAAGAAATTCATACATTCTTTTGTGAGTTTGTAACCTCACCTTCTCAACACCTCCAAATGGTTTTTCCTGGATGTCCCATGCTTCCTTTGTTGAGACTACATCACTAACATTCTCAATATTGTCTGGATCAACGCATTGATGAATTATAAAGAGAGTTTTATAATATTTCTTCTTCAAATATTTGCTTGCAACCTTATGTTCATTCATAGCATTCTCTCAAATTGGTGTTACTACATTCTTCACAAGATCCTAAAGCTCTTGATAGCAGAAGACTACTTACATCTACTTACATTAATTTTCATAATTCTTACCATTCAAGATTGGAAGATTAATTGGAAAATGCTCGTTCGAATAATGTATTTTGCTAAGCTTCCTAAGAATCACAACCAGTGCTCTAGATACCAGATGTTGGAATTAAACTTCAATCTTAGAGATAATCTAAATCAACCTTGATTGAACGAGAATCAATCTTTCTGGTTGATCGCTTCACTCATTTCTCACTCTTCACTTGATTTATTCAACCAAACTTTGGTTGCAAGATGATTATGCCGCACAATGATTTGAGAAAATAAATTGGGAAAGAAAATAGAAATTAAGGTTTTTAAAAGAAAGGGGAAGAAGATGAATAAAATTCTGCAGAGTTTTTCTTGAGTTTATTCTCACAGAATCTGTATTTTTCTGTATTTACAATAATAAGGTATCTCGCTATTTATTATGAGATTACTTGCTTACCAAGTAATTCTCAAAGTAACTAACTAACATAAACTTCAATAAACTGTATTTAACTTTCTGTCGAATACAGTTAATACAGACTTTGTTGAAAGCACACTACTTCAACTTTGTCAAACTTACAATTTGTTTGACACAAAGAATTACATATTTAATAATATTTAGCAATTAAAAAAAAATTATTACTTGTTTTTTGTTTGCTTTTAATATATTCAAAGAATGAACTTGTGAAATTATAATATCTTTAAATTTTTAAAATTTCAAATTTTTTAGGTGTCTTGATTTTTTTTATAGACTGAATTATCCAGTTCGACTGATTTTAATAATTATATAATTTTGTTATAGAGAACTATTTATTTAACTTAATTATTCGGTTTAATTCAACTTACTTGAATGGATTGACATATCACTTAATAGTTCGATCAATAAGTCAGCGATCTAGTACCCTCATCGATCCGATAATGGTTCAATTTTTAAAACACTATTTTTTTATTAAAAAAATAGTCTTTAAAAGGACAACTTTATCATTAACGTTGATTTAAAAAGTTGTGAATACTCAGAAATAAGAGTTCTTATTCTTATATTTTCAGAAGTTCTGATCTAATAAAATTTTTGATGTGATCTAATAACAATAAAACTAAGTGACGTATTCTTTTTTTTCTTTTTCGTTTATATCATGTTTGGAGGAAATGGAATATTGCTTTCATAGTACCACATCCGTTTTAAAGACTGGTTAAAACATTTAAGCGTAACTCCAGTATCAAAAATGACTTCATGGCCCAATGGATAAGGCGCTGGTCTACGAAACCAGAGATTCTGGGTTCGATCCCCAGTGAAGTCGTTTTATTACATATTTTTTTTATTAAAACTCAATCTTAACAGAATCAGTAACGCATTGCTATCATCACCAAACACATCAAAACCCAAAAACTTTAACAAGAAAATGAAAACTATAGACACTATCACTCAAATTAATACATTAATACAAAGTTATAAACTAAAACTTTTTTCTTAATCAAGAAACTGAGTGTCGCCTTCTCTTTGGAAAAGGAAACCTTCTCTCTGAACCACCACTATTACCCTTAATACTACCACTAATCCTAAACAATGCATTAAGCTTACTTAATTTTTTCGTAAACGATTTAAAAAGCTTATTACCCGGATTCGACTTAACAAGCTCTTGTTTCATAGAAACATGATCTTTCTCCAAATCAGTTAATCTCATTCTCATTCTTGTTACTTCAAGTTTCAACTCTCTGTTCTCTCTTCTAACCGATGCATAGTTATCTCTAGGCGAAATTCCTCCACTTCCTGCACCACTGCCCGAACGTTGAGGGAATTGACCGTTTAGTCCGCCGAAGAGTAGTTGATTGTGTCCTCCGCTCATCGCGTTACGAAGGCGGATTTGTTCGAAGTAGAGAACTTGTACTGCCATTTGTACCGGGAGTCTCTCGTTCTGTGCTGCATGGCTGCATGCTTCTTGGGAAAGTTTCTGACAGTCTATGGTTTTGCATAATCGGTATCGCTCCGATTCCTTTATGTTTGGATGAACCTGTTTGACAGAAAGTCATTAATATTTTATAATAGTCCTTGATAGTGAAAATTCACAACCATGTTAGTCGTTTAGAAATTGTCTGGACTAATATGATCGAGAATTTTCAATTTGCCTGACCCTTATTATTTTGAGGGTCAGACAATTGACAATTGAAAAGAGGAGATTGTTTACTTTAAGGAAGATATCAACGGATCTATAGAGTCCATCGCTTATGATACGCGCGTGATCGGGAAGTAATTCAGCGAGTGAGATGAACTTTGATGGAAACAAGTTTGGGTCTAATGCAACTTCAGCGAGATAGTTATCTAACAATTTTGATACCTTAAGAATTGAGCTTTGTTTTGGAGATCCCGGGCTATCAAATTCATAAACCATTTCACTTTCGTCTCTCAACTGGCTATTGTCCTCGTCCTCCTCGTCCAAGTTAAGAAAAATCGAAAAAATTCTCACGATTAAATCTGTGTCGTAAATAGTACTGCTATGCTTATTATTTTGGTATGAACTTGTTGGAATCAGAATGTCTTCGAGAATTGCTTGATCAAGTTGTAAACCGATTCTCCTCTCTAAATCGGATCTACATGAAGTAGAAGCTGATGCTGCTATTGCAGATTTCAACAAACTTGCGAGAAAAGCTATTGGAACCTGGCTTTTCCTCGATTGAGTTGGTAGTAAACTCGTTATTGTTTCAACGAGGATCCGTTGTTTCTTCGAAAATTCTAAGTCGAGTGAACCTCCTTTGACTACTTGAAGAGAATTGTGTGCGTAGTTTATTAGAATTTTGCTGATAAACTCTTGTTTTAGCCCCTTCGACTTCATCGTCGATAAAACTCGTTTGAAGAAATCAAGATTAAGAACAGTAAGCGATTTTCCCCACCATTCTGAAGGCGTTTCCGGTTCAATAATTCGGGAAGGGAAATTATGGTCGAGTTTTTGTAAACCGGACGTAAGCTGCTCTTTGCATACATTGTTTGCAATTGAATTGACTAATCTGTTAACCAGATTAATCTCTTCTGAAATAGGTAGGAGAGTTTCGCACCGGTGAAGAACAGATATTGTGTTTGCAGTGTTTGACAGCACTATCTCTTTGAGATATGATTCGGCTCGCGTCAACAAGTTTTTCTCGGCGAACTCTTCTGTCATTTCTAGAAAATGAGCTATGCATCTTAGCATAGAAACATTGGAGAGAGTGAATTCAATGTTAATTCCATAACAGAATTTTGCAGCTAGCTCAAATGCCTCTGCACCACCCGGTACACTCGGGAAACTTATGCGCGAGACTTTCGAATCTCTTGATTCTAACAACAGTTTCCGAATTCTTCCGCTACGAGAAACTAGAGGAAACTGTAGAAAAAACAGTTGCAAACAACTTATTAGTACTTCAATATTGAAACATTATATTCATGATTTTAATAATAAAGGTGTAACTCATGCATATTTTACCTTGTGAAGTGAAAAGCTTGAAGCTCCAATTTCAATGGTGAGATCACTAGAGACATCAGAAATTGGCCTGTAAGAGACAAATCTAGCTGAATAATTGCATATGCTAGACATGGAAAATTTAATATAAAGCAACAAGAACTTAAGTAGCTATATATAGATATTACAAAAATGAAGTTATGATAATTGAGACCTTGCAAGAGTCTTTTCATGCAGAAAATGTATGTGTTTTGTTAACCACAAACAGAAAAACAATGTAATCTGGCAAGGTCAAATACTTAGATGTGAATGGCCCCAATTCATTAAATGCATAATTTGAGTGTGACTAATCTAAGCCCTGAACATTATCTTAGGACTGAAATCTACAACATGGATCTATACGGTAGTGATCTGATAACGAAAACATAATATGTGGTATAACGAATCTTAAATCAAACTCTGATATCATATTAGTATGAGTGGTTTGAACCTAACCTATGTAACACGAACACAGGACACAGATACTCACGGGCAATCAACACCAATAATAATCACAAACATTAGTGTCGTGTCCGCGTATGTGTTTGACACTGACATGGATACGCTTTTTTTTAAAGATGTCGGTGCTACAGATGAAATAACTAATTAATTTCTATAAAACCGGTTTGTAGAAATTCTTAAACAGGTTCAAATCATATATTAAGTGATGTGGAATTCTTAACGACACATTTGACAACTCAACTCGACAAAATGGTATTTATGGTTGAGTACATTGAATATTACATGATAGATTGATAGGTTATTAGTTATTATGGCACTGTGGTGAAACACTGGAACCCATTAAATCAAATCATTGATGATTTACATTGAAAGATAAGAAAGGGAAAGTATTTGTGCCACACAAGTACTGTCACATTGATGTTTAAGACTGTACATCCAAAACATTTTCTTATAGTAGGTGAGTTCAACTCCAAAAGATCATTAAAGTGTGCAAATAATTGCAGACAAATGTTAATTTGCATTTTGACAAAAGACACGTTGGATTTTGACATTTACCACGAAGCAACGACTATATGGTTCTGTCTAGAGTGAACATGATTACATCAAAGTCAATGTCACACGTTCAATAATTAATACTTGTCAGTATCACTAATACTTTCGTTTGAAGACATGTTTACTCTAGTATTGAACTATGATAAGACATATTGCAGTGTCCGACACGTATTAATAATCCGACACTTGTATATCATCTATTTGATGTGTATCAATAAATTGTATTAATTAAAGAGTGAGACCCAAGTAAATGAAACCAATAAGCATTACTTTAAAGTACTTGATTCCAATTATTTGATCAAATCTAAAGATCAAAATCTAGCCTCTAGGTATCTGATAGTGACAATAAAAAAAATAAAAAAATAAAAATTGGTTTTTTGATGTTTATTTGGTGGGTCATTATATCAATCTCCTTTTATTTTTCCTAATTCCTGTTCATTCAATCCTCATTGCAATTATTTTCTTTACCTCAAAAAAAAAGTCACCATCATGTATCTAAAATGCTACAGGAAAAGTTATTGAAAATGTATAAGATAAACTCCCGCATATGGTTTTAAATTTGTCTAAGAGCGTGCAAAATAAATTATAACACATGATCTCAAATTTGTCACAGTTAAATTGTGACAAAATATAATCTCAGAATAGATTTGTTCCATTTGAACTATAATTAACCTACACAAAAATTTTAAGAAACTCTAAGAATTTAAAACGGCCCTGCTTGCATGTTTGTCTAAACTAGCACAATATCATGCTCGGATTCATAGTGCGATAGACAAAATAATCTCTTGCGCCAAAATTTTTAAAGAAATATAGTAATAAATTATGATTCTGTCAAACTCGTAGTCAATTCAAAGATACACAAATGAAAAGTAAAGCACAAGAAAGAAACATATGTTACCATTCAGTGGCATGCCTTATGCTTGAACTTGGACGAAACGTCCTCTTCCCAGGAATGCTAGGCTTAAATTCTCCAACAGTGACAACTCCCATATTTCCACAAAATCTGGCAAATTTTGATACCTCTGCACCCCAATAATTTAAGTATTGTCAATACTGAATTAAGTGACTATGTTAACAACTCATTCCAAAAGAAAACTATTGTGTCATTCTCTTGGTTGAGAATCACTTGTTTCTTCTCTATATGTGGAATGTTGTAGAGAATTGAAAGTGCCACATGAGTTCATGCAGTTCTATAGGATTTGAGTTTGATTCTGAAAACATACTTTATGATGAGTGTGTATAAATTAATCTAAAGTCAAAGAAAACACAGGTGTATGTGCTTTCACTTTTCGGTGAAAGGTTGTGAGTAAATAGACCTTTTCTATTTCTTTTATATTTCTTTGTCTTAAGATATTGCAGGAATCCTGAAGATTTGCAGTGCTTTTGGGATTTGTAATTATAGCCAGTGAAAGTTACTTACTTAATTAGTAGTTCTATTCACTCAGTCATTCCGTTCCATAACGAGTAAATGAGATAATGATATTTTTACTAAAGTACTCTTATCATGTATTGAGAATGATGAAAGTAACATTAATTAAAAGGTAAAATTGAAAAAATATGTATTGAAAATTGAAATTGATCATTCATTTTAAAATAATCTTTTATTTCAAATGGTTCACTCATTGTGAGACGGAAGTAGTATAAATTTATGAAGCAAAACACTATAATTGTTTAGGCTAGTAGAAATAATCTCACATTATTCGAAATCGAGATTAAGAATAATTTATATACAACACTCATACATCTCAACTTAATAAGATAATTTTTTAAAGAACAAAGTTAAGATTCTCACACCCAAAAAGTTAATGTTTCGAATTTGAGTTCTACCGAAACACTCAGACCAAACTGTACGTGAAACTCAATGTTCAAGTTCCTAACTTTGATTGAGACAAGTGTTTCAGACAAATATTCTGACCAAAATAGTTTTACTATTTTATATATAACACTCATATACCTCAGTTAAAAACAGATATCAAGTAACACTGAATATACATTTATTCAAAAGTGTCGGCAGTCGTGAGAGATATACACTCTTAAATTGTGTAAAACAAGTGACATGATGGCTAACTAGCACATTGTTTCATTCCAAATTTAACACATGAATTAAATCAATTTCAGCTCATGATATAGACACTAATGTGTACCAGAATTACTCATGTGACAACAGTTGGGACAATCATCATCATAGACTGCATTGATATGGTGGTGGTCATAATGAGGCCATCAATTTGTTTTATTGTATGGTTTTAGTAGGTAATGATAAATTGAATGTGTCATTCATTTCATTCTATAACTATGAGTATGATCATTTTTGTTTCTTAAAATAATCAATTGATTATCTAAACCAAAGTTAGAGACTTTACAGCTTTCTCTTTCTATAGAAACTTTCTCAATTGGCAAGTGGTCCTGTGTTACTGAAAATTATTCCTTTCTAACTCTAGAGAATAATTATAACCATCAAGTACATAGCATGTATTCACTTTCTTGTTCGATATTTAATTTTCAGTTTAAGGGATGTCTGATTCTTGTGATGAGTTTGGACACATTTGAATAAACTATAGATTAATATTTTTGGATATTTCAAAAAATAGTAATGAATTTATAAGAAAACATATTTTTCTGTGTTAAGAAACTATCAGATAAAACACATAAATATAATGCAAAAGTGATATAATATCATTACAAAATAAATTATGTTGACTTCCTAGCTTCTTAGTCGCAGTGCCTACTATGTCCTGCGTATGTTGATTCTCATGTTCTTGTAACTTCACTACACTTATGTCTCCATCTGTTTGTGATGGAAGGCAAATGGCATTTGAGTTTCAACTTCACTCGAACTCAATGACTGTTGTTAAGAAAATCAACTGCAGTCATTTTATGTCTACTAGAAGCTATGCATGAAGCTATCATTATTGGGAAGAATGTAATGTTAAGATTCCAAGACAACGAGACCAATATAACATTGTATCTAGAAACAATTAGGTAACTCATATCAGGAATCATCATCCACTTCTCACGACCCTGCACACCCAAGCTAGCTAACCGCAACACACTCATAACTTCTGGTACCGTGTCATAAAACAAATTGAAATACAATTGATGGTGTTTATAAACTTTAGCATCTAATTGCGTATGAACCAAAGGGTAAAACTCTTTGCCTCATTCAAGTAAAACTGCAATATTCTGAAAACCACAATTTCCATCGTCTCCCACATCAACAATGTCATTGATGTACTGATGCAAGAAAACAGGAAACTGAGACAAATATTTTAGTTTTGAAGACATGTTACACGCTTAACTTTCAATTGGTTTTGTACATGATCGCTTCGTACTCTGACTTTCCTGTAAGCTCTTAGCTACTCATAATATGAAGGATCACGATGCACATCACTCTGTTCACCCTTTTTACTCTGCTTATTTCCCTTCCTTGGTTTGTACTTCATTGGTGGTGGACACATGAAAGTTATGGATGAATGTGTTAGTTCTCAAACTTTCTTCTTCATCGACATATGGCCTACAATATCTAGTATATCGAAATACTTCTTCAGCTCTTAACACTCTTCTTATAAATTCAAATATGTCCCACATATCTAGTGTATCGAAATACTTCTTCATTGATGTTGTTCCACATATCCATAATATGTTCATGCCTATGTGATTTGAAATACTCCTTACACTTCATACTAACATTTTTTTTTGAAATATGGAACATACACAACAAATGAGTTGAGTTTGGAAACACAACTTCTACAACAATCATCAAAGTCAGTTCACAATTAGTAACTAAAACATTTGGTAGCACCTTCTCGGAACTGAACAATTATTTTAGCTTCCCTAGTGCCCACGTGAAGTTTTTCTCCCTTTCATGTTCCATATATGCATATCCAACTGAAAATTTCAACTTCGTGGATGCAGCAACAACAATATCAAGTAGTGGTAGTTGGTACCTGTTTGTTTTGTTTGTACATTAAATCAACAACACGTAACAACTTCAAAATGTAATCCCTACTACAAATTGTGCAAACAATAACGCCAGATTTACAACAGATTCATATACAGCGTTGTAATAAGTTAAAATTTTCGCGCCCAGTGAGTAGCTGGATTTATGAACAGTAATTTAATGACGGTTGTCTTAAAACACCGTAGTAATAAATGATGTGTAGCAAGCTTCGATTACCAACAACTACATTTTTTCCATTTTTTAGAGTACATTAAGCGTGTGTTACTTAAGTCCATAATTCAAAAAATAAATTGTAAATGGTTTTACAACTGTGAAGTAAACCAACCGTTGTTAGAGGACTTACAATTCCACTACGGTTGGGTTGTCCAATCGCGATTAAAGGGTTTACTGATAAATTAAAACAAAACTTATTCTATATTTCTTTCATAAGACGCCCTAGGAGAACAAGCGAGCCAGAGACGACAACGGTGACATAATCTTTACGCTCTTCGTATCCATTCATTTGAAGCTCAAATCTTCACCCTCTTCATTCATTTTATTCTTCAACTTCGAAGTACAGTACTCTTCAACATCTTCATTCCTTTTTTCTTGGTTTATGTTGTATATGCTCAAATATTCACCCTCTTCGTTAATTTGATTCTTTAGCTTCGAAGTACGGTACTCTTCAACATCTTCATTCCTAACGTGCATAAGATTCTTCAGCTTCGAAGTACGGTATTCTTCAACATCTTCATTCCTTTTTTTCTTTTTTTGTGTTGTATATGCTCAAGTCAGTATGAGAGTATATATTTCATATGCTTTAGATTTAGATTTACATATGCATATGCTTAAGTTTTTGGATTAGATTTTGGTGTGTCATTCACATTATTATACATGTATAAATTTCAGAAGTTGTTATGGATCGTAGTTGGATGAAAGTCAATATATTAGATCCGGTTTATAAGAACGAAGTTCTTGAATTCCTTGAATACGCTGATAAACATCTGCCTGTAAATAATGGTATCTTTTATTGTCCTTGTCTTGTTTGCGCGAATATCAAAAAGGGTACAAAAAAATAAATATTCCATCACCTTTGAATTGCTAAAGCAAATGTTACCAGAAGATAACAAATTGTTGGATCGTTGCTATGAGACCAAGAAGATATTGTGTCCAATGAGTCTGGAGTATATCAAAATACATGTCTGCCCTAATGATTGCATATTATACCGAAAAGAGTATGAAGACTCGTATCAATGTCAGAAATGTGGTGTGTCGCGTTACTAGCTGAAGGCCAATAATGGTGATGACAATGACTATGACAATGTTAGTAGTAATCATCCTCCTGCTAAAGTGTTATGGTACTTTTCAATAATTTCACGATTTAAGAGACTTTTTTTCTAATTCGAATGATGCAAAGAATCTTAGGTGGCATGTATATGAAAGGACTCGTGATAGAAACGTTCACCATGTAGCTGATCCGTTGTAATGGAAGAAAATTGATTTGTTGTTTCTGGATTTTGTAGTTGAGCCAAGAAACCTTAGTCTTGGGCTTTCCACTGATGGAATAAACCCCTTTGGTAATCTGAGCATTAATCATACTTTGTGGCCCGTTCTTCTCACTATTTACAACCTATCTCTTTGGTTGTGCATGAAGCGTAAGTATATACTGTTAAGTATGATAATTTCGGGAACACGACAACCTAGTAACGACATAAATGTTTATTTAAGTCTAGTAATTGATGATTTATGACTCTTGTGGGATGAAGGCGTTGAAGTTAATGATGCATATTCTGGAGAAAAGTTTAAGATGCGTGCAATGTTATTTTGCACAATCAACGAATTTCCTGCTTACGGTGACTTGGCTGGATATAGTGTCAAAGGACATAGAGTGTGTCCTATATGTGAAGATGATACTTTTTATCACCAACTTGAGTTTGGAAAGAAAAACCGTTTACCTTGGGCGTCAAAAATTTCTAAAACGCGATCATCCTTATCGTAGATTGCGGAAGGCTTTTAATAGAGAGAAAGAGTTTGATGAGGCTTTTGAACC